CCCGTGGGCCCCCCCCCCCGCTCACAGTGTTTATTGAGATGTGTATTGGGACCCCAGACCGTCATGTTGCTGGGAATGAATAATTTAGGCCTGGTTAGATTAAGAGCTCTTCACTGAGAGAATCAGGAATGTGTACACCTGAAAATGGGTGATTTATGATCTGTAGATTTTAGACAAGCGTTTGTTGTTTTAACGTAGACGCTTTAAATTAGCATAGGCGTTTTACTTTTCATTCAACTGCAATACTTATTTTCAATATCTTTAATAGTAGCATTCAGTTTTACAATTTGCTCCAGTCCACCCTTGTTCTGTCTGCCTCATTAATCATAACTATATGAGAGCATTCATGTTAAACAGTTCGCTTGTGTTGTACCCACAGTAAATGTTCAGTCATTGTGATCTGTACGCGCTGTGACATGACTTTCATGGATAGAAACACTCTCTCACACACGCCTGTCTGTTGCATACCTCTCTTTGTTTTGATTACTCTTCTATAAATGAGATTGGCTGTGCTATAGAGGCCTTTTATCGGCTATACATGCATCAGTGCAGTTAATGATGGTCAGCAGACAAGGCCAAACAGTGTAAATGTTTCCCGAGAAAGAGAATAAGTGCTTATTAAATTGGAATTAAATAACCTCGCGAGTCAATATACAATAGCAGTTATGTTGTATTAGGGGCACGAGACATCTTCCTTAATCCTCTTTCCACTCTTTAGCATATTTATTGTAAAGCATTTTCTATACAGTAATTTGACGCTGCGAGCTTTTCTTTTTTTACAAACAGCCAGTCAATTGACACTCAGTGTCGCGATTACTTTTAATTATATGCGCCGAGCTACTGTGAGTCTGATAAAAAAAAAGCACAGTTTTGTTTGCGCAGTGGAATGGCACTTTATATGTTATTATAAGTAATCCATAATTCATATGAGATATGAGCCTTGTTTTCGACTTAATCACGATCACATGAGCTTAATACTGGACCATCGTGTATCACATCATATTTATTATTATTCAGCCAGTCAATTGACACTCAGTGTCGCGATTACTTTTAATTATATGCGCCGAGCTACTGTGAGTCTGATAAAAAAAAAAGCACAGTTTTGTTTGCGCAGTGGGATGGCACTTTATATGTTATTATAAGTAATCCATAATTCATATGAGATATGAGCCTTGTTTTCGACTTAATCACGATCACATGAGCTTAATACTGGACCATCGTGTATCACATCATATTTATTATTATTATTTTTTTTAAAGGAGTTCAGCTGGCAGATGGCTCAGTGATGTGTGGTCCAGCCTGCCCCGATCTTATTGCAATGTTATTTCAAGCATCGGTGATCACTGGAGGCCCAGCCTCCAGCCTCCAGTCGCTCTCCAGTCCAGTCAGTCTTGTATATTCTCCTAATCTGCTCGGGACATCTCGCCCTCTTCACCGGACTTCTCATGTCACGTTGATGTGTATTAGATACGTTTTCCTTCCTTCCTTCCTTCCTTCCCTCTCTCTCTATAAACCTTAGAATGCTACAAAGCAACAAATGTGTGCTACATACATGAGCGTGCAATAATTGTGAAGAAAACGTTTTGAAATGTTTCAGAACAATATATTTACTTCCATTAAATAAAACACAATAGTTTATTTTTGGGATGTTGAAAAACGAAACAAAAATTCCGTACCAAATATTATACACAGAGCAAAAACCAAGTTCATTTCTCAGAAACATTTGCGTATTATTACCCAGGGTTGCTATTCTAGATCTATATTCACACAGACATTTAATAATAAATTTATGATATCACACACGACTGGTGCGTTTAGTATGTACATTCCCTTGATCGCAAGCAAGACATGATTCCTGTACGTTTTCCACATGCTGTGTTAAACTGAATTCTCGAAAATGCTTAAGAGTTAGAGCTTTCGCCTCTACAAACTGGAGATGATATTAAGATATATGTATAGCCTATATACAACCGTTCAGTCAATTACTGTCCAAAAGTTGAAACGTCAAAATAAATGAGCTTTTTTTTATTATTTATTTTTTATTCTGGTATCCTAAACTCTTCACTGGCTAGTGTGCACTTGCTAGTGTAGAGAACAAATCTTATTAGAAATGGCGCGTTTGTCTTCCGTTCCCGCTTGACATTCCATCACAGGATTGGACGCATTTCAGTGGTTTATTCTTCTAGTGCCCTTGAAACAAAAAGTGTAGTCTCTCGTTCCTGGGATTCGGGATTGTAAATTCTACAATCGTCTCTTACACCGGTCTATCCACTGCGTACTGGCAAGCGCTGAGATTGGAGACCGGATTCTGCACGCTCGCGTATCCAAAACTCGAGTGCTGCTTGGCTTTCAGTCTCAGGCTGGCAAGACTGGAGTTACAAGTGTCCCGGTAAACATACGGAGGTGTCGGTGGGGCGTAAGGGCACGCCGGCGTGGGAACCCCCGAATTTAGAGAGGGGTTGCTGAGGTTATTCAAGTTATTGAGGCTGTTTAAACTTGATCCGGGCACGCCGGTGACAGCAGACGGAACCATACTGGAGGGCATGCTCATTGAAGAGATGGAGCTAGGTGGGGAGAACATGGCCTGAGAAGACAGCGGATTGACGTTCATGGAATTGAAAAAGGGGAAGCTTTTGGTAGACAGAGAGGCCGACGTGAGCCCCTTTGCAGCCCAGTTGTTGTACGTGTAGCTGGGATACATGTCATCGTAGGGCTGCATAAGTCCGTTGAATTGAGGGCCGAAACCGTTTTTACACAGCTCTGCCTGTTGGTTCCTCTCCCTTTTTCTCCATTTTGCCCGTCGATTCTTGAACCACACCTGCAACAAATGCAGATAATAATTTAGATTCCTTATTAGACTCCATAATTCATTGTTTTCTGACACAATGGGAACAGTTAAACCGACGATTATAAGTGTTGAGAATTGCTGTCACCGCAGCTGTTTTTGGTAGATAAATGATATGGGTGGTGGTGGTGTCAAACTCAGTTAGGATCCCTAATTAAATCGCTTTTTATCAGTCACCCGGAATCTTGTCTGATCCCGGGAATCCCAATACACATCCAGTCTCCAGGCTTTTAGCGGTCAATGGGCCGCCCGACGCTTCAAATGTGTATTCTCCCTAAGCAGGCGGAGACACACTAACCTTATGTATATACAACACGAGAATGACAATCACAAAATACAAGCTTTACACCTCTTTAAAGGCGACTGCGTGACTCCATTAAGGTCTGTCATCGTTAGGGCGTCACTTGTGTTGATTGCATACAATTGGACCCATAATTAGCCTCTAACCAAACAGTGACAGATTTATATTTAAATGATTAAATAAAGTCATATTTAGCATGTCACCTAAATTAACATAACGCGATTTTAGATAGTAGCCTATAGCATGAAGCGCCCGTATAATAATAGTTAGGCTATATATGAACAAAATAGTTCAAATAAGTAGCCTATAACTGTAAAACAGTACTAATAAGTTAATTATAATTATATTATTATATAATGAATAACCTAATAATCATTAATTTGTAATAATTTTAAGTAGGCCTATTATAAGCGTCTTATACAATTGTATTACTTTTTATTTAGCCTAGTATTTAAAATATAGAATTTGAACCTTGAATTGTGGATTTGTTTCCAAAATAAATAGGGCTTTATCACATATTATTACAATGTTATTTCATTTATCAAACTTACTCTGACTCTGGGCTCTGTTAAATTAGTCCAAACAGCGATCTCCTCTCTGGTGGACATGTCCGGATAGCGATTCCGCTGAAAAGTGGACTCCAGTTCTTGGAGCTGTTGGCTAGTAAAATGCGTTCGTTGCCGCCTCTGTCTCTTCTTTTTCGATGGGTCATCAGTCGAATCTTCGTTTTTACTCTGTCCTTTCTCTTTCTCTGCAATGCAAAGTAATTCAGTATTTTAAAATAAATGTTTAATCCAAGAGGAACAGTTTTTAAGCTTCAGGCTCTGTTTTGACACATTGGAGAAGTCTGTGTGGGGGTGATAAATCTAATTCCGTTTTATTGAATTGAAAATATTTGACATCATAGAAACAAGTAGGTTCCCTGGTAACAACGTAACGGGCTAAATTAATTAATGAACTTGCCTAAATTTATGAACACTAATGTTCAACAATAATTTCTTGCAAAGCTAACACTACCTGTAAAAATTCAAGCGCAAATGTTCTAAAATCAAGGTTAAAAAAATATTTTAACCACAATGAACGCGTCGTGACTTTCTCATCATAGGAAAAAAAGAACATTAGCGGTAGAGAACGTTTGCATTATTCCATACAAAACGCAATGCCGCAGTGTAAACATTTGTGAGAAGCCCACATTTTCTCACACAATTTAAGCAAATAAAGCCCTGTCAAAGGGCATGACTTATGTAGCCTACTTCAATAGCCCTATGAATCAACTAACTGCCAGCTCCATGTCTTTATATATTTGCATGCCTCACACTGTAACCTACTGTTTTCAAATTGAGGGAGAAGTTTTAAACGGTTTCTTTTCACAGGCATAGGCTACCTCATGACATAGCCTACCTAATATTAATGATATACATAATGATATAGCCTACCTAATGGTAACTGACACCAAACCCGAAAACATTCCAATTAAATATATCTCTTCAGAGGACCAGGGCTTACCTACGGACTCTGGACTGGAGGTGTCTGAAACCGTGTGAACCTCCAGCCTGTGTTTCGAGTCCACAGACCGCTGGAGCGGTTGCAGACTAGAGGCCATCGTAAGCGGCGTGTGTTTGCTCCCGGTAATGTGGTGATGGTGGTCCAAACTCAACGGGTCCTTCATAGAGGTCATGGATAACACAAGCGATTTACGGACGGTTCGCAAGCAGATATAACGTCCTCAGCGAAGGTCACAAATATAGAAAAAATAAATAAATAAAAAAATTAAAGAAATGAATGTGTCCAGTAGTGAAGTATCGGCAAGCGTTGTCAGTGCTCCTTTGTCACTTAAACCACTCAAAGCGACACTCCTCAAACGGCTGTTATCGTAATAAAATAAACCCAGTGCTGAAGAAAGTTTAAGTTTTTTTTTTCTCGTTTCGACTGGGTAAAAGATATCTCGGTTTCAGCCGAGAGCTACAAGGAGAGCCAGAGTGACAGGGACAGGTATGTGATATTATATCCACTTGCATACACGCACACTCTCCTACACATCCCAGCGCTCGCTCTTCATTTCAGCTGTCCTTCTCTCCGTCCAACCGAGCTGCGCTATGCGTCCTGACGTCACACAGACCCCGCCCACAATCTGACGGAACATTACAACCTATACTTCACAGATTTTATGGCCAACCGACTAAAAAACGGCCCAAAGAAATTCAGAGTGACAGGGACAGGTATGTGATATTATATCCACTTGCATACACGCACACTCTCCTACACATCCAAGCGCTCGCTCTTCATTTCAGCTGTCCTTCTCTCCGTCCAACCGAGCTGCGCTATGCGTCCTGACGTCACACAGACCCCGCCCACAATCTGACGGAACATTACAGCCTATACTTCACAGATTTTATGGCCAACCGACTAAAAAACGGCCCAAAGAAATGAGAAAATGCTGCCTTTTTTCCCTTTAAAGAGCATGCAAATAAAGGCTGTGCATTCACTAGTGGCTTCCGAGAAAGCAAAATGGGTTAAATACATTTCTCAAAGCCTAGCACACCTGAACATTTTTCTGTGCAGGTATTTTAAAAACAGCGTTTTATTCACATTTGAACTCAAACACAGATTTCTGTCAAAGTCAAATAAGCGCAGCAAATGGCACAACTAAATACGACAACTCTCGAAGATGCTCATTTCTGAATGAAAGTTCCGCTTTTGTCACGTTAATTGGATGATTCTTCGCAACAATGAGTTGACAGGGTATCAAAGACCGCGTTACGAATTCATTTGTAACAAATAAGCTCAGTCTTAGACTGTTAGGTAATGCATTCCTATTATAAACAATAGGCCTAACTGTAGGCCTATAGAAGAAACAAGAGGGAAAAAAAGAGAAAAATATTTATTTTTGAGTGTCTATTCCTGCTTAGTTTTACAATTTAATTTAGGGACTGAAAGCACTTTGGCGAGGTACATTTGTGCGCCTCGTGCTCGTGATGATTTCGGGGGAGAGAGCACCCACTTTGCTTTTCTGAGTATGCTACATTTAATCTGATAAGGCGCTTATTTGCTTAAGAATTTTAAATGGGCATCTTTAATGACTTCAAGCTCCTTCACCTTGTTGTCTCAAATTCATTCAAAACGTTGCAATAATTTACATACGTTTAATAACGGCATTTTTATTTTTAAATAAAAACAATTTATTAGCCCTAATTAATTTTAAATTAGCCTATTTATAATACATTTCTCAAAGCCTAGCACACCTGAACATTTTTCTGTGCAGGTATTTTAAAAACAGCGTTTTATTCACATTTGAACTCAAACACAGATTTCTGTCAAAGTCAAATAAGCGCAGCAAATGGCACAACTAAATACGACAACTCTCGAAGATGCTCATTTCTGAATGAAAGTTCCGCTTTTGTCACGTTAATTGGATGATTCTTCGCAACAATGAGTTGACAGGGTATCAAAGACCGCGTTACGAATTCATTTGTAACAAATAAGCTCAGTCTTAGACTGTTAGGTAATGCATTCCTATTATAAACAATAGGCCTAACTGTAGGCCTATAGAAGAAACAAGAGGGAAAAAAAGAGAAAAATATTTATTTTTGAGTGTATTCCTGCTTAGTTTTACAATTTAATTTAGGGACTGAAAGCACTTTGGCGAGGTACATTTGTGCGCCTCGTGCTCGTGATTATTTCGGGGGAGAGAGCACCCACTTTGCTTTTCTGAGTATGCTACATTTAATCTGATAAGGCGCTTATTTGCTTAAGAATTTTAAATGGGCATCTTTAATGACTTCAAGCTCCTTCACCTTGTTGTCTCAAATTCATTCAAAACGTTGCAATAATTTACATACGTTTAATAACGGCATTTTTATTTTTAAATAAAAACAATTTATTAGCCCTAATTAATTTTAAATTAGCCTATTTATAATTTGCATTTATTATTTATTATAATTTAAAGTTTTTTAAATAGATTCGTTACATTATAAAATAACAGGGGAGAAAAAACTTTAGTTGGATTTCTTTTTGAGTTCTGATGATATTTTAGTTGTCATTCAGATAAAAATACCACAGTAAATGGGTAATATATAAAAAAGAAACAAAAAAAAGAAGAAGAAGCGGCCAACCCGATTTCATTGTTGGAAGCAGCTGATTGCAGCTAACTCAATAAGTGAGGAAATTAGTGTAACTAAATGAGCTTACAAACTCTACATTTTTTGCTTCCCTGCTTGTCCTGAGAAATCACCTGAAATGTCAAACACACCAAGGGGGAAAAAAACGGAGAAAAGAGAAAAGGCAGCCAAGTTCTTATGAAAATGACCCGACCATCTCCATCGCTGACTTTGATTCAGCTCACGCTCTTGCACTGGATATTAATTTATGGCATAATATATGATCCTGGAACCGACAAAAATCTTGTATGTACAGGTCTTTTTGTATGAGAATGTGACCTCGCGTTCAATGCATTTGCGCCCAGACCCGGCACGATATTAAAGATCATGTTTCGGTCTGCTTTCTCATACTTGCCATTCACACCAAGGGGGAAAAAAACGGAGAAAAGAGAAAAGGCAGCCAAGTGCTTATGAAAATGACCCGACCATCTCCATCGCTGACTTTGATTCAGCTCACGCTCTTGCACTGGATATTAATTTATGGCATAATATATGATCCTGGAACCGACAAAAATCTTGTATGTACAGGTCTTTTCGTATGAGAATAGATTATTGCTCTGTATTTATTTTGGACCCTCAAAATGCTTCAGAGCCCTCTCACTGCCTGCTGTGGATTATTGACCATGGCGCACCACAGAGCCATTAATTACCAATTCAGTCAATATAAGGGAGACGACAAAGCCTTTTCCATAGGATTAAGAGGACATTAGATTCTTCCATTAGTATATTCCTCCGCACGAGGAGGCTTTCATTACACATTTACTTTTCCCCTGAGTCTATCTAACAAGCGCTGCATATATTACTGCAGAGGAGACGAGATTGTCGGTAATCAAGTCGCTCCAATGTCTTTTCCCTCTTACGTTGCTGTTTGCATTTTATGCTCACTTTTTCCTTTGATCTCTTATCTACTATAGGCTATCTGTATCGGTTCATAGCCAATATTAAATGACAATGGGAAATGGGGTATACTGAAAAACGGACTAATGCGGCTAAATAAGTGCTATGATTTGTTCTTAGTTTGCTTTAATTAGCTTAATGAAGATGCCAGATGATATGGAGACCGGCCACACATTCTTGTAGCCTGCACAGTTGTTCCCTTTCAGTTTTAATTTAGTCTTTTTACGTTTCTGTTAAAATTGTCCCTGTGCGCCAAATTATAATTTACTGGAGAAAATTGTATTTTTTTATATTTTTGTGCTTAATTTACCCTCTACAGTCTATCATACTGAATTATAATTTAAAATAGATCACATTTTTATTTTTAATTGCCACGTTTTTACATCTTTTCATTGAGGACGCACGTGATCACTTAACCACACGTAGGCTACATTTTATCACCAGGCATTTTGAAGTATCGAATCAGTATTTTATTTGAACAAATTCAAGATATTTTAGAGATCACAAACCTCTAAAATCACACAGACTTTGCTTTAAAAATCTAAATTCCTCTAAATGAGCTGCTAGGGGGTATTATTTATCCATGTATGATCCTGTCTTACCACCAGATGTCCATCTTTGACTATAAACGTCTAATGGTTCCGCTTTCCTTATAACCAGTCATACGTCAAACACCAAAGGTAGTTTACAAACGCCCTACTTTTCATAGACCAGTTTTTCTAGCTGCGATGAGTATTTTATGTAGGCCAGGCAACGTTGAGATGTTTGATTAAACCAATCAAGGACATTAATGAATCCAGATCTTCTCTGGAGATTTAAACAAGGAGGGGGGCTTGTCATTCACCAAGATCTTCTTACCTAATTGAGCACACGTTGATGCAAGTTTGCGGCAGTGGGAGTCCATTTGTTAGATTATACGTTGAGCACCTGTGAAAAAAAGAGAAATGTTTATTTAATATTTTATTAAAGTGTTTATATTATATGTGTAGGCCAACTTCTGTTTGAGAATGTTTAGTTGGCCGTTTTCACACATGACCGAATGGGCCACTCAGTGATGATATATTTCAAACCCATTGTCATATATTGGATAGTTCCTGTCTGTAATGGGATGTGCACATTCCTCGTTTGTTTTGAAATCCCTTAGCGCTTGCTCGAGTCCTTCCTAATTAAGACTCGTGTCTCCAAACGCACATGAAAACAAGGCACAAAGAGGAAAGACCATGCACCATGTGTGTGTCAGTGAGAGAAAGAGCGCAGTTGAGCGCTGGAAGTTGAGTGATTCCGCGGTAAAATCAGGGGATTAGTTTCTGATTGAGATGTCTGTCGGTAGGATATTACAAAATTCATTATCGCAGCTCTATACTAACCCGATATGAAGTAACACAGATGGGCCTTTATTAGCCCAGGCTTCAGATGTTTGCTTATGATAATTTCAGTCGGAAATTTGCATGCAATCCTGCTGTTAACCGTTTTCCCTCTCCATTTTTCTCTCTCCGAATGCAACGCTTTACTTTAGCCCTCCCCTTATATCACCTTCCTGGCATCTGTTCCTTTAGTCAAAGGCTTGAGACTCTGGAAATTAAATTTGTGTGCGTTTCTTTGTATATGTGTGCCGCGTAATACGCAGTTCGTGTGAGCGCGAAAGTCATTCATCTAAATACGATTTTGAGATGCTAGTATAAAGTTATGAAAATATTCTAATTAATTGTCTAAATTATTTACCAAACAAAGTAGGCCGTGAAATGGCCAATTAAAGTTGTGTCTTTCGTTATGCTGAGCGCGTTCATGGCATCCGTTCCGTTTTGATTTGGGCTACTTATATTGGTAACTTTATTATTATTTTTATTGTCATTATTATTATAGATTTGTCGTTTTTTGTTTTGTATTGTTTTACGCGAATTTAATACAAGTGTCATGTCAAATATTTACTCTTACAAGGTCATTTTCAAACAGCAAAAGGTAAGAAACAAAACACTACACATGACATAAGTGCATAAGATTATAACTTGGACTGCATCGATGCAAGTTCATCAGCAGATGAAAA